CACACACACACACACACAAACAGACACATGGAATCGTAACAAAATAACTGGCATGGACGGTTTTGCTTCAGGAATGATGTGAAATATGTCATGATTTATTCAGGGGAAATATGAAAAAAACATTCCCACTTTAAATAGATAATCTTTATTTAGGTATTTGAAACTGAGCCTACAAAAAAATGAGATTTTAATCACTTTAAATAAATAAAATAATCAGGAGACCTGCTTGATTATGGACCACGAATGTTTCTGTGTATGTGTGAGCGCATGTGTGTACGTGAGTTTGTACGGGTGTCTGTGTGTAGCTATAGAAAATCTCTACAAGGTGTTTTCAGACAAATAGCTGCAAGTTCTCAGAGTGGGTCTTCTCTGCCAATGCAGAATCCTTGAAACTGTTTCTCTGGAGAGGAGGACTACTTTATGACCGTTCCCATCTGGAGAAGGAGAAATAAGGACAGATACATTGGCCAAATCGTGTCGTGCAGTATTGAAATGTGTCCCTCTGCCTTTTACATTTTTATCACCTTCTGCTTGGAGCTCATTGAGATCAGCAGTGTTTCCTTTTTTCGTTTGTTTACTAGAGTCCAACCATTCTTCTTGTTCTACCAGATACTGAATGAAATGATTGGAGAATATGTTTCCCTGACATGGACACACTGGCAAACTGAATCCCATTGAGAACTCTTCCAAAGGGAGCGATCATTGATTTCAAACATTGCCAGAGGACCCTAACTGGGAAGGACCTTGGATTTGTGTGCACTTCCTGGAAACATATCCTACGGGGAAAAGATCTGCCAATAGTATTTTATTTTTATACCATGCCAGGATGTTTTTTTCTCTTAAGACATTTTTAATTTCAAAAGAGGAAGTGTATGCTCTCCATCATCCTTCTGCCAAGAGGACCGCTTTGGAAAGACACACGCGTTCATCCTCTTTTTCCTCCCGTGTATCCTATGTGTTTGTAGGAGTGCTCTTTTGTGTCGATACGCGTTTGCTCGTCGGTTTGTGAGTGCGTGTGTATGCCTCTGTCAGTATATGTCACCGTGACCCTGTTTACGTCTCCACTTCCCGTCCTTTGTCCTGCACAGAGAAAATCCCATTTTGAACAATCAAGTGTCTTCTGTCCTGTGTCTTAGAGGAACTATTTCTTGTGTAGGACCTGTTGCACTTGGTAGGGACAGGGTCTATTTCTCAGATGCGCGTTTCGGTTGTTCTCTGTCGAATGTGGTAGTGACCTGTCTCTGTTGTGTCCCTAACCAGCTCGTCACTGAAACGTGTCCCTAGCCTGATCTGTGTTCTCGTGTTGGGTGTGCTTTTCTTTTTTTGTAAATGTGCTCTGTGTGTACGAGGGGACAAACCTGGTGGCCACAGCTTTTGAGGAATAAAATGTTGGAAGTTTTTCCATTGTCTTTAAAAAAAAGTGTGTGGGGGGGGGACAAACTGGTTCTCTTCATCTCTTTTGGCTAATGTGACTATCTTTTCTGTCTGAGCATTCCTTGCAAACAGAGACAAAGAGGGGGACATGTCTTTTATTGTTTTAGGGCCACAAGATTACTTATATAATTTTACATTACAAACTGACTTCAGATTTTTTTTGTATATGTTCAGTAAGGTCACTGCATCATCAGAAATATTATAGTTGTTAAAGCACTCAATTCACATACCCTTGATATCCAGGGTCACTGCCTCTATTAAAAGGATAATTCACCCAGAAATGAAAAATCTGTCATTTACTCACCCTCATGCCATTTCAAACCTATATGACTTTCATCTGTGGAACACAAGATCAATTTTTCTTTTCAAAATACAATGGGGTGCAATATTGTTTTTGGACACCGTTGGCTATCATTTGAAGCATTCTTCAAAATATCATCGTTTGTGAAAGAAAGAAAGTCCTGCAGGTTTGAAATGACATGACGGTGCATAAATGATGGCAGAATTTTCCATTTTAGATGGATTATCTCTTTAATATCACAGTTCAACCACTGCCAATGCTACCGCACATATCTCTCAATGGAGGAATACTGCATTACCAATCACTATCACTCATGTTATTGAAATATACATCAGTATAATTATTTCCCACTGTACCCCCCTGAGCTCATATTTTCTCTGTTTCCATTATTAATCCCATGCCAGGCCTTGGATGCGCGCACACACACACTCTCGCTGGTGTGTGCTTAGTCCTTAGTCTGTTATCGTATATTAGCTCTTGTTGTTTTCTAAGAGCCCATTGATTCCGTCATACACGTGGATGTGGTATTGATCTGCAGTCTTCAGCTCCTGTCTCCAGGCCCATCTCTTCTGCTGCCTTAGATCTTACACTGTGGAGGCACAATCCCTGTAGAGTGACCTCTGACCCCTTCATCAGTTTCCACAAAATACAAGCATACGATAGCTTTCTCTTTGGTTCACCCCAGGCCATATTTTTCTCTCTGTTTGTCTCCCCTCTTTCCTCTGTCTCTCTATGTCAGTGCAATTCTGAATGATCCTGAGGAAATGTGTTTGCATGCTTATATTAACATGGATGATGTCAACTTGATGCAATGATAATTTAATAAGTGATGCTCAAAACACAAAAAAAAACTGACAATGAACTTGATACTAACACTACTAATGACAAACATGTTGACCTAGCAACCTGTTCGTTATCATCAAAGCATTGATGATTAATGTTGTTAATATTGTATATCCTCTTTGAGATGGTATTACAGTTTCTGGATATATTTTTCTTTGTTTGTTTCTTTGCTTTTTTTTTGTTTTCTTTGAAAAGGTTTACTTTTTTATATGTTCAGATTAAGCCGAGATTAAAAAAATGAAATGCAGTCAGGACGAGAGAACATTTCAGCTGAAAAAATAATAATAATAAAAAAAACTTTTAGGAGGATGATTATGAATGACAAGAAGATGATTCTAAGGCTGGAGCGATGATGGCTGAAATAAAACATATGTATGAAAAATCATTGCAATGTGTTTGCGTGATACAGCTGTTTGTGTTCATGTAATGGGTTGTGAATCAACCTGATCATTCTGTCTACCTCTTACTTTGTGTCTCACTTCCTTCTCCCTCCTGCTGTGCATTAACTTGTGTATAATTATTTAGTCACCATCATAAGTTCTTTATTGTGGGCCCACTTTATATAAACGCAGTGTGGAGCATTGCATTCATGTACTTGCTTTTTTTCTGTATTTCCATAGGCATGCAAACGCACTCACAACCACATGTGTCATATCCATAAATCAAACCTGGCCTTTCTCCACCTCAGCCTCGTTCTTCAGATCAGGTTGTATCTTTATGGCTTTTCCGGTCACACAACTTCCTGGAGTTAATTGCACCCATGTGGTGTGATTCTTAGAGGGTTTGATTTGCCTGATTCTTCGACATCCATGTCTGCAGAACAGCCAGAGTCAGCACTATCTGACACACACAGATACAGGAAGAGAGACAGAGGTGCAGGGAATTAGCGCATGTGGTGAAGACTACAAATGTGCTACGGAGAAGAGCAGGGGGTAAATCTTGACAAGAGAACAGGAGCCAGTTTCATCAACACAGCCATTAAGACAGTATCTTAAGAACTAGTCTGACCAAAATTATCAAATTTGACCAATCTATTTTTTATGTGCTGACTTCAAAAAAGTAATGACTAGTCTTTAAAAAAATAAATGACTGACTTCTAATATTACTATATTCTAAGCAGCTTATGCAGCTGGCCCCAGGTCGAACTATATGAAAAGAGCGGTAAGAGGATAAATGTTTGAGAATAGCTGGAGAAAAACTATTAGGGGGATGGAATTAAATGAATATTCCTTAATTCAGGTTCAATGCAAGTTAAGCCCAACTGGCACTTGTGGCATGATGTTCACTTCAAAAATTAATGTAGACTTGGGTTACAGTGATGCACTTACAATAAACGTGAATGGGGTCATACTGTAAATGTTAAAATTCTCAGTTTCAGAAGTAAAAAAAAAGTTTACCATTACACAGAAAAGTATGGACTACCGCACACGGCCGTTTCTAGGCATAGGCGAGCTAGGCGGTCGCCTAGGACGCCACCAGCTGAAGGGGCGCCAATGAGCGCACGTACTGGCACTTTTAGCAGGGTTGTGATAAAGAGTGGCATGGTCACCCTGGAATATGACTGCCGCCCCCACTGGATCCCCCAACATTATTGGGCTAGAATACTGTCAATCTGACGATGCCTGTATGCCACTAGATCAGAGTGCTGTCAATTGCTGCCTGATTGTTGCATGCAAAGTTTGCATTTGGAGCGCTCAACAACGCCATTAGATCAGTGGGCTCTGTCAGTGCTTTGGCAAGGTAACACTATTTTTTGCCATGCAATAAAGCTAAGTTCAAAGGCCAATTTAAAATATTGGTACAGTAAATAAAGTGCACAAAATCAGCATTTTGTTTAGGCAGTATTTGTGGCACTTTTGTGGCACATTTGTCCAAATATTTGTGGCAGATTTGTCCAAAAGGTGTGCGTTTTTTGCGCCAATGCATTGTTAAAGGATCAGCGTGTCATGTAATATTCCCATATAAACTTTAACATCCAATTAAAAAATATTTGTATAGTAAAATTCGCTAATTCACAAGATCAATACATCCTTTATTAGACCACTTTGTCAAGTTAAATGCATCCTTACGGAGGTGTCGAAATGCTGAATCAATTCATTCACTTCCAACAG